TACAGTGGCTCAATAGTCTAATCCTCCACCTAGCGGCGCCGGCATACCGGGTTCTAGTCCCGGTCCGGGCGCCGGATTCTGTCCCGGTTGCCCCTCTTCCAGGCCAGCTCTCTGCTGTGGCCTGGGAATGCAGTGGAGGATGGCCCAAGTGCTTGGGCCCTGCACCCCATGGGAGACCAGGAGAAGCACCTGGCTCCTGCCTTCGGATCAGCGCGGTGCGCCAGCCGCATCGCACCAGCCGTGGCAGCCATTGGAGGGTGAACCAACGGCAAAAGGAAGACCTTTCTCTCTGTCTCTCTCTCTCACTATCCACTCTGCCTGTCAAAAAAAAATTTATTACAGAATTATAGAAATATAAATATATGCCAGCAAAAATATTTGCATGAACAATTCACAATTATTTCAAAATTGAAATTGTTATTGAAGGAATTGCTAATCACACTGACATATTATACTTAGTGATTTCTATTCTTTGTATATATAAATTTAGAATATAAAAGAGAACATGAGTTCTCAAGCTGAAATGACCTGGGTTGAATCTGTCTCTACCACATACAAGTTGTGAAACTGAGCAAATGATTTTTAACCTTCCATACCTCAGTTTTCTTGGCTGTAAAATGGGAATAGCAGTGCCAACATCATATAATTATATGAAGATTAAGTGAGTTGATATACATACAGTTCTTGGGACAGTGACTGTTAAATTGTAATCACTACCAAAAACCTGGTTATAATCACTATTCTGTCAATGTTAGCCTTATTATTCATGGAAAATTGAATTAAATGATAGTTTATTTTGGTGTAAAAAATTGAAATCCATGCATAGTTGCTTTACAACATGCATGTTATGAACTTTTTGAAGATGCTTCATAGGTATAGCTTTCAAAATATTTTTGTACCAAAATAAATTTATCTTTTAATTCCATTTTCTACAAAGGTTCTGAAGTGTCCTCATGTAGATTTAAACACACATACACAAAGGAAACCAAAAACAAGTACAAGTGGCACCTTTCTGTAAAATCTTCCCTTTTCTTCTCTATCTTTGCTCTCTTATAGTCTCTGCTCTCTAGTTCTACTCATGTTCAATGATCTCATGCAGACCAGTGTCTAAACACCACCTCTAAGATGGTAAATCTCCAGCCTGGACTCTCCTCCGAGCTCCACATGTGTGTGTACCAATGACTACTTGTGGACTACTGCAGTCTCCAAGTGTCAACAAGCATTTCACTCTTCATTCTCACCATTTCCTTCTCCACTATAATCAGCTGCTCTCCTGTCTTTTACTCTTGATACTGGTGCATCTCCCTCTCCAGTTTTCGGTTCAAACTAGGATCCCTCTTTTCCTGTTCCACATCCAATCCAGAAGCAAAACACTTAGCACCTATTCAAAATCCATCCGGAATCTGATCGCTTCTCCCCACTCCTACTTACCTGCCCCCTTGCCCAGATCCTGTTCATCTTGAGGATGAACCCCAGACCAATCACCTTGCTTCTACTCTCAAGTATTACAACCTACGCTTCAAACTTCAGGTAGCAAACTCTTTTACAGAATCAAGTAAGACCGTGGCACTCCTCTGTTCAGAACCCAACAGTGGCTTCATGCCACACAGAATAAAAGGTAGTCAACTTATCACAGCCTTCCAGGCCTGCCCTATGCAGCCTTCTTCTCCCTCCAGGGCATCACCTGCTTCTCCACTCCCACATGCTCACTCTCCTCCACACACACAGATCCTCCTGCTGTTCTGTGCTCCTGCCATATATTTCTTGGCTATGCTGGTTCCTGCCATAGTCCTCTACTCCCCCTCATTCAAACTCAGATGTACTGTCACTCCTGAACTCAACAAAATCTCACCCCCAGCCCCACCATCACCTCCTATACCTTCTCTCTTTTCTTTTAGCACATATCCCTCTGAAACTATACTGTTTATTTTCTTTTTTGTTTAAATAAACAAACATTTAAAAATATTTATAAGTAAGCATTAGTTCTCTTCTCTACAAAGCGTAAGCCCTAAAGTGGCAGGGAACTTTTCTTCTTGCTTACCACAGAATCCTCAATGCACAGAACAGTGGTTGGTGTGCCAATCAATAGATAATTGTTAAAGGAATTTTTTGAAAGCTTTTATTTAATAAATATAAATTTCATAGGTACAGCTTTTGGAATATAGCGGTTCTTCCCCCCACCCCCACTCCTGTCCCACTTCCTACTCCTTCTCCCAACCCATTCTTCATTAAGATTCATTTTTAATTATCTTTATATACAGAAGACCAACTTTATACTAAGTAAAGATTTCAACAGTTTGCACCCACACAGACACACAAAGTATTAAGTACTGTTTGAATACAAGTTTTACCATTAATTTTCATAGTACAGCACATTAAGGACAGAGGTCCTACAGGGGGAGCAAGTACAACAGTACTGTTGATTTAATAATTGACACTCTTATTTATGATTTCAGTAATCACCGGAGGCTTTGTAATGAGCTGCCAAGGCTGTGGAAGCCTTTTGAGTCCACAAACTCCAACATTATTTAGACAGGGCCATAAGTAAAGTGGAAATTCTTTACTACCTTCAGAGAAAGGTACCTCCTTCTTCAATTGATCCCTCTTTCCGCCGGGATCTCACACACAGAGATCTTTCATGTAGGTCATTTTTGCCAAAGTGTATTGGCTTTCCATGTCTGAAATGCTCTCATGGACTTTTTAGCCAGATCTGAATGCCTTAAGAGCTGATTCTGAGGCCAGAGTGCTATTTAGGGTGTTTGTCATTCTGTGAGTCTGCTATGTGGCCTGCTTCCCATGTTGGTCATTCTCTCCTTTTTAATTCTATCTATTGTTATTAGTAGATGACTGATCTTATTTATGTTATCCCTTAAAGGAATTTTTAAAATTAAAATTAAAATATACATGTAGGGCAAGTTAACAATCTAGGGATACCAATACAATGCATACAGCTGCAAAACAGACTCCCTGAACAACTGGTTTACCTCACTAGTGAATGTGTACTTCTACATGTTTAAGGATGTGAACTATATATTAAGCATCCATTTGTTTTCTTATATTTAAAAGAATTTTTTTTATTTGACAGATAGAATTACAGACAATGAGAGAGACAGAGAGAAAGGTCTTCCTTCTGTTGGTTCACTCCCCAAATGGCCACAACGGATGGAGCTGTGCCAATCCTAAGCCAGGAGCCAGGTGCTTCTTCCTGGTCTCCCATGCGGGTGCAGGGACCCAAGCACCTGGACCATCCACCACTACTTTCCCAGGCCACATCAGAGAGCTGGACTGGAATAAAAGCAACCGGGACTAGAACCAGCACCCATATGGGATGCTGGCGCCACAGGCAGAGGATTAACCTAGTGAGCCACAGCGCCGGCCCCCTAAAATTTCTTTATACCATATTATTATTTAAAAATGTAGTGTTTAGGGACAAGTATTTGACCTTGTAGTTAAGGCACCCATGTCCCATATTAGAAGACCTGTGTTTGATACCTGGCACTTGCTCAATTCAAGCTTCCTGCAAATGCACATGCCAAGAGGCAGCAGACAATGGCTTCACTGCTTGCAATTCACATGGGAAATCTGCACTGCGTTCCTGGCTCCTACCTGTGAACTGACCCAGCCCCAACATTGCAAGCATGTGTGGGTGAACCCACATGAGTGAACCAGTAGATGGTAGCATGGGCTTGCTTTCTCTCTATATATCTCTCTACTACACCACCACCACTCCTTTTTATCTCAGTCTCTATCTCTGCCTCCTAAATAAATAAACTATTACTTATGGCAACACCATTGTAGACCCTTAAAATCATTTCTGATACTATCTTCCACCTATGAATAGTAAAACAGTCACAGTTCAGTTCCTTAAGATTTAATTTAGAACAAATAACTTCCCATACCTATTCATTGAAAACTGATAAACTGACACATTTTTAAATAATATGAAAAGCAATAGTTAACAGAGGGGAAAGCATTGTGGCACAATGGGTTAAGTTGCTGCCTGGGATGTTTACATCCCATATCAGAGTGCTAGTTCAAGTCCTGGCTACTCTATTTCCAATCTAGCTTCCTGCTAATCGGCACCCTGAGAGGTGGCAGATGATGGAGCACATGCTTGGGACCCTGCCACTCAGGTGGGAGATCTGAATGGAGGTCCTGGTTTGGGCTTTTGCTGACATTTGGTAAGTCAACCAGCAGATAGAAGATTCATATTCATTGTCTTTCTTCCCCTCCCTGTTCGTTGTTCTGCCTTTCAAGTAGATAAAATAAGTAAGGAAACATTTTTAAAAGGTAGTAGAAGTTAACTAGTCAGCTAAAAGCCAAATAGTTAATGTACACTCCAATATGCACAGCACAAAATATATATTGTTGGGGCTGGCACTGTGGTGCAGTGGGTTAAGCTGTCACCTGCAGTGCCAGCATCTCATATAGGCACTGGTTCAAGTCCCAGCTGCTCCACTTCTGATCATGCTCCCTGCTGGTATGCCTAGGAAAGCAGCAGAAGATTCCCAAGTACTAAGGTCCTTGCATCTATGCGGGGGACTTGTATGGATCTCCAGGTTTCTGGTTTTGGCCTGGTCCAGCCCTGGCCATTGCAGCCAATTAGAGAGTGAAGCACCAGATGGAAGATTTTCTCTCTCTCTCTCTCTCTCTCTCTAACTTTCCCTCTCCCTCTATCCCCTGTAACTCCACATTTCAAATAAATATATAAATCTTTAAAATACATATATATATAGTTTAAATCAAACTTTAAGTTTTATAAAGTTGCTTGGCCATACGAAATACAGTTTGGAGTCCACAAACTGAAGAGCGTAACTTAGGAACGCTAAATAAGTTCTAACTACTCTTATTCTAAGTATTTTCAAAATACAATTATTTTACCAAGAAGTTCTAAATAGACTCATTCAAAGCTTTAAAGCCAAAAAAGAGACATGCGTTCCCGGCGTTTCACGCTGGCTCAGAGACTTTTCACAGAAATGACAGAAACACGAACCACGTACCTTCGGAAAGACTCGGCTTTGTTTTGTGCTTGGGTCCATCCTTGCAAGGGTGGAAGTTCAGCTGCTGTAAGACCGCTGGACAGATGACAGAGAAGTTTGAGCTGGTTAACTGGGTAGCATTTGAAAAGCCGTGCAGGGAGAAGATCTCCTCGGCAGATAAGCACTGGAACAGAATAAACAAAGCAAACATACATTTGTTGGCATTGTAAAAACACACAGGCAAGAGTTCATCAGACTGCACAGCATTAACTCTTTACACAAAAGCTCACCAGAGAAACGTATGGACCATAAAATTGTAACACAGCCCAAATCTTTAAACCTTAGAAACAAAAAGACAGCAAAAAAAAATCTTCTTAATCGACAGCCTTTCTACAACAGACAAAAACACAGCAGCTCATTTGGAAGTGTCCAAAGACTTTTTAAAAAACTAATACAAATGATTTTAAGGCAATTTTATGATCTCAGCCTTCCCTCTCAGTTTACTTGTTTTAAGTTTGAATGGATAGTTTGAATGGGCTACTGGCATGGCTCTTACAAACACCTGGTTCCTTACAGTTCCATAGTTAAGAAATTCACTCCTTTTCTATATAGCAATAGTAATTCCAATATATAAAAGTTGTGTTAAAATATGTTTTGGCACCAATTACTGTTCACTAAAATATGTATTAACCTCAGTGAGGGTAGGTATATTTTATAAAGTTTGGAAAATAGTGGTGTGCTATTTAGAAATTCATTAAGGAATTGATAGAATCTATACTAGAACAAACCTGTCAAAATAACTTGTTAAAGATATCATTTCATGTTCAGGTTAAACTTTCAACTATAAATTGGGTTCCATAGATATGAAAATTTTAAAATGATATAAAATAAATGCTAATAAATGCCTTACATATAATGTGAAAAACATTCACTCAAATAGGAAAGTCCAGTTGTAATAAATGCAGTGGAGAAAAGTTTTCTGCACACTTCAGTCAATCCTTAAACAATACTAAGACCTTAGCAATGTGCCATAGACTTCTATAGACTCCCAAAATCCGTATGTTGAAGGCCCCTGAGCTTCTGGGAGAGAACGAGTTTGCTGAACTCATGAAGGTAGGGCCCTGGCCTGATGGGATTGCTGTCATTGTAAGAAGAAACATCAGAGAATTTGCTCACGTGCACTCTCTCTCTAAACTCTACCAGACAGCAATCCTCTGGCAACTTGGTCTTACACTTTCAATCTCTAGAACCATGAGAAAATCAATTTCAGTTGTTTGAGCTGCCTAGGCTACATATATATTTTGTAATGGCAACCTGAACTGACTAATACACTATGAATAATATTGAAAACTCAAAAGTTGATGTTAATTGTTTGACTATAACAATTATAACAGAAACAATGTAATTTGTCAGATTTGGGTACAAGGAGATCACTACTATTTATCAAAGAAATCGGGAAACAGCCAATTAAGAAAGGGACACTGGGTATAGTTTATCACCATGCAGTCATGCGGGAGCATAATTGCTAGACTGAAAAATTACAGGGCCCAGGTGGTTCAACCGGCCTCTGGGTCGTTCCAGGAATAGCAGGTGTGAGAGAACAAACACAAAGCAGAGCTGTTTCCTGCAAGGATGAATTTACCTCCCTGGGCTTCAAGTTCCTCCAGAGGCTCAGCAGGAGGAAAAGAGGAAGCTCTCTAGATAATCTCCAAAACTTCTCAGAAGTAACATTTTAAGACTTCCTAGAACTTGATTGGTAAGCCATTCTTTTCATTCTCAGATTGGGAGCCTTCCCTGGATCAGGGGTGCACTTGACAAGGCACAGTCACTACTTTTTTTTTTTAGAACAAAAACTAATAGAAATGACAAGTGCAGCACACCTAAGAGAATAAGTGTTGCTTAGTCAAACTCCGGCCTCAGTTACACACTGTACATATCACATGTGTAAACTAGACTGCAGGGTAAAATTTACTTCTTACTGGGAATGGCAACAGGACTTTGAATGTCCTCACCTCTTAGGATATCACAACTGCCACTGTACATCGTTAAAGACTCTCTCCCAAAGTCTTTTTAATGGTGTTGTCAAATGAGACATAATTAGGACTGTAAGACAGCTTAGAGCCTTGATGATCTGTGCAGGTGGACATAGATAACACAACATAGACAATATGACCGCTGCAACTGCCCAATCACCAGGAAGCACATGGAGGTGAGGAGATGACACAACTCAAGGCCTTGCCTCCTGATAAGCAGATGAAAACAAGAATTCTAACAGTAGGCCAAAACTGAATTCATCACAGGCCTGATCAATTTTCAAGAGCTACCTATCTATAGGCAGAATGCAAGTACGTTTGGATAGTAGCCTATGCTGGTGTCAAAGCAGACTTGATTTTTATTGCACTTTGATTTTAAAAAAGTTGAATCTAAAACAAAAGAAGGCAGTTGTCTACGACACAGCAGTGTCTCTTAAAGGGACCAATAGGATGAGGCCAGGGCCAGGACAGTGCGGGCAACAACAAAACCAGTTGAGCCACTGCCGCTGAAGAGGAACTTCAAGCACTCTCTCAAGCATACCCCTGTACCTCCAAAAAATGACTACATAAGTTATGGAAGTAGTAGGATGCCCAAGGCTTCCTAGAAAACAACTCCCTGCAATTATACTGAATAGTGTGGGCCTGAATGCCATGCTGTGATGAGTTTCACTCCCCTTCACGCTCCTATCCTGACAGTTTTCCTTCTTATTGCTTTAGTTGTATCTAGCAGTTCTCAAGAATGCCACCCTGACACTTGCTGGGTTTTTTTTTTGGGGGGGGGTGGGGGATGAGGAAAAACTCTAATCAGCAGATGCCTTCCTAAAGACTTTTAATAACTTTTGACTTAAATTCATATTTGATAGTCTCTGTCACAGTAAAGTGATCTCAAATGGAGCCTCAGATTCATAAAATACAGTAAGATGGAGATGGAGGTAAAAGGAGTTAGACACATATTCTAAATAAGAACCCCAAATGATACTGAAAATCATTTGAGAGAATAGTTCCATGCATATCTGCCTTCCTAACTCCTTCCTCACCAGTTCTGGCTACACAGATGTTTCTCTGCTTCTTTCCCAAATAGGTTTTAGGGAGAATGGTCGGGGTTGGTGCAGGGACTGGGCAGGAGGAAGGCTGAGTGATGAGGGCAAGTTCCTCCCTCAGTAGTTTATACACTCGACATCTGCTTATAATAAATGCCTAGGAGTCTGCCAAGATATGGGTTACACAGCATGGATGCTGACGAAGACTCCCTCCTTAATTAAGCTTCACTCAGGGGCCTCTAAGCTCAGGTCTTGACCACATCATCTATCCTTGTGGGGCCTGCATCCTCCTAATGTAGTAAGTCACCTGCTAAGCATGTTTTCTAGAGAATCCTTTACCCTATCTGGTCACACAGTAAGTAGTCAAATTCCTCATTCCCTATCCTGGATTTCTTCCCACCCTGGCCTGTCTTCTGTAACAGGCCTGTTAGGTCCACTTAACCAAAATCCCCCTCAGTAACTTCCCATCCACTGAACCCACCGAGCTCTTTGGCTCTCAGTCCTCATTGTCACACGGTATCCAGATGGAGCCCAGTTCTGCACAGAGGTCTCTTTTCCCCTTATGATGGGTAACTTTGTGTCAGCTTGACCAGATTAAACATGGTTTCTGAGCGTGTTTCCAGATAGGATGAGCATTTGAGGCGGCGGAGGTGGTACATGGCCCTCCCCACCGTGAGTGGGCATCACCAATGCCCTGAATACTTGAGTAGAACACAAGGTGGAGGGAGGGAGACTGCCTGTTTTCCTGCACCACTGCCTGAGTTGGGACATTCTCTCCCCTTTTCCCCAGCTCTCAGTCTAGAATGTACACCATCATCTCTCCTGACTCAGGCCTTCGGGCTCAATCTCACCACCAGCCTTCCTTGGTCCCCAGTTCACGGGAGATGGTGTGACTGCTCAGCTTCCAAAAGCACATGAGCCAATTCTTCAAATTAAATTCTGTGTATCTGTTTCTCTCTCTCTGCCTCTCAAAGACAGAAATGCGTTTAAGATAATAATCTAAATTGATAAAATGTAGTGAATGCCTGCCTGGGATTCCCTCTCCACCATGGCGTAACTGACTGCCGGCCTGGCCGGAAGTCCCCGTCTATGTCATGTGGGTGGGGCTGACCAGTGTACATAGGACCCAGACCTGTTTACTCTTCAACTAAGCTCCCGAAGATGTATTTTTCCACTAGGACTGCTATGATGCTGAGGAACCCTTAAACTTTGTTTGCTGCCATGGGAAAGAAAGCTGGCTGAAAGACAGAGACCCACAGCTTTCCAATACCACAGCTGATCGCCTGCATCCACCTGTGCCTGAAGCGGTTTCACTCCTTGATTCTTCAGTTCCCTGAGTCACTGAACTCTCTTTTGTTTCCTCTTTCACTTCTCCAAATGAAAGAGTCTTGATGGATTCGCGAACACATTATTTAAACATCAGTTTGTAAAGCTAGTGAATGGGGGCTGGTGATGTGGGCCAGCAGGTAGAGTCACTGGTTGCAATGTCAGCATCCCATATGTGTGTTGGTTCAAGTCCTGGCTTCTCCACTTCTGATCCAGCTCCCTGCTAATGCACATAGGAAAGCAGCAGAGGATAGCCCAACTGCTTGGGCCCCTGTACCCATGTGGGAGACCCAGAAGAAGCTCCTGGCTTCAGTCTGACCCAGCGCCAGCTGTTGCCACCATCTGGGGGAGTGAACCAGGGATAGAAGGTCACTCTCTCCGGCTCGCTCACGCTCACTCGCTCACTCGCTCTCTCTCTCTCTCCCTCTCTCATACTGCCTTTCAAATAAATAAAATACATCTTTAAAAATGAATGAAATCCTGTCTTTAAAATAATACCAAAAAACAAGCCTGATGAATGAATTCTACATCCATAACCTATGGGCAAACAAAATGATAAACTTTTCCACTCTTTAAAGCTTCTCCATTTCATCTTCCTTTTCTTAACACATGGGTTTTTTTCTCTACTTGGCTGTCTTGTCAAGTGGCAAACAGTAAATACAACAGGACCACATGATTCGATGCCCATTGTGCCAAGGCATTCACACCACACCAGAAAAGAAATATCCCATTCAAAAGTCACCCCAGAGATGGTTTCAGATTTTATGTTGCCATGGACTGGGTTC